GTAGTTTAGTAGCAATTTTCTTACTGAATGCTTCTTTTAAGTCTGCGTATTCTGGTGGGATGTTAACAGCACCACTAGCATTAGGACTTTCTATGGAGGTTGAACAGAGAGAAATTTTGGGTTGTACGATACAGTTTTGTAGACAATAATCAGACCATCGGAGGATATTGTGATCAGACCAGGAAATAAATGAACTGTGTTTTTCTAGCCAGGGCAGACCTAATATCATTTCAAACTCTGAATGTTCAAGTACCAAAAAGGATAGAGTTTCTTTGTGGAGAGCACTGGTCTGCAATGACAGGGGTTGAGTCACTTGTGTGATGGCTCCGATTCCCACAGGTGCTCCATCCAGTGCAGCTACCTTCAGCGGGGTTTTCAGGTCTTCCACAGGGGCTAGAAATCTTTCCAGCAGACGAGCATTAGTGAAGTTCCCCTCTGCTCCAGAATCTAATAGGGCTGAGACTTCTTTTGATAGGCGGGAAGAGTCACATTGCATAGGTTCAGAAGTGTCCAGTGTTTCTGAAGTGACTCTTCCGCGTGGCTGTAATCTTCGGGGATTTTTCTCTGTCTTTGTCTTGCTGCGGTAGTGCAGGAGATCTACTCAAATGGCGAGAGTGATAAGCTGGTCCAAGTTCAGGTCATCATCCTTGCAAGCTAATTCCGTTAAAATATCGGAATTCAGTCCTTGTCTAAACATAACTAATAAAGCTGCCTCATTCCATCCACTACTCGCAGCCAAGGTGCGAAACTCCAACGAGTATTCTACTACAGAGTGATTTCCTTGACGCAATTTTGACAGCAGTTCACCGCTAACTTTGCCTTCATACGGATGATCAAAGACCATTTTAAACTCCTTGATGAATTGCGAGTATGATAGGCGCTGAATATTAGTCCAGCTAGCAGTTGCCCACTCTAGAGCCTTGTCTGTCAAGCGAGAAACTATGAACGAAATCTTCGCTTGATCAGAGCTACCGGGAGAATTTTCAAAATAGACTGAGCACTGTAACAAAAACCCACGCACTTATCGGGATTACCATCATACTTATCGGGTTTGCTGACAGGGAAGGCAGCTTGTGAAGCTTCAACCTGAAATGGGGCGTGATTTACATTCACCTCAGTTTCAACTAGGCTCCTGTTCTGTAATTGCAGAGTTAGTCCCTTCACACTCTCAACGAGTTGGGCTAGCTGGGCCTGTTGGTCAGACTGCTGTTGTGCTAATGACTCTAGCGACTGGGTAACACCCGACAATACCTGTTGGTGTCTTCCAAGCATTTGTCCTTGCTCTGCAAGGGCCTTCTGGAAAGCCCCTGAATCCGCCGTCTGCATTGTAGGCGAAGTATTCTGTAAGGTTTCAAACACGGTCAGACGCTCGCAGATGTAACTTACAGAAAGGGCTTTACTGGTAGAAACAGAGTTCCAAGTCGTAGTCAATAACCAGGCAGAGTTCAAATCCAGAAGGCACACGAAAAAGACAAAGATCGGCCAAGGCAACAATCCAAAAAGGGAAAAGTGGGGAAAAGCAGTAGCGTGGTCGAAGGCACAGGCAAGTGGTCATAATCCAAAATCAGAGACAATAGCAACCAAGTCCAAAGGGCAGAGCAAAAAGGGCAGAGACGAGAAAACGATAAGCAAAGGTCATACACGAAATACACAACAATGAATAAACGCTCAGTAGATCGCAAACTGGATACAGTACTTCGCGACTTTACTAAGCTAAAGCCCGGGCTTATATACTATACTAAGTATATCATATGACACATAACGCAGGTGAATCACATCAATGCTCTGGAGAGCTAGAGCGCTGATAGGAGCACGGTGTCACGTGAAACGTCATGTGACTTCCCATAGGATCCTGGGATATTGAGTCCGTTTTAGTCTTGTTGCCTACGGGAAGATCGGAAGTCATGTGATCTCCCAGAGGATTCTGGGAGATTGAGTCCGAATCTACAAGGGGTTTCGGAGGCTGTGTGACAACATGATGAAATCCCAAAGTTCTTTGCTTTTTTATGTTGAGAAATTCAACATTCTTGAATTGTTACACCTATCCCAGCTTTTTTGGAACTTGTTGTTTGCATCAGATTCAAAATATATTTTTTAAACAAACAATAAAATTTATCAGTTTCAACATTTGATGTGTTGTCTTTGTATTATTTCCATGAAATATAAGGTTTAAATGATTTGTACATCATTGCATTTTGTTCTCATTTACATTTTGCACAGCGTCTCAACTTCTTTGGAAATGGGTTTGTATATCATCTCTCAGCTAATTGTTACATGTCATTTTTTGCATCCTTAAAAAAACCTGTCTATAAGATCAAGAACCAGTCCTGTTTACCTTCAAATGAATATCACTTTTTAAAAAGAAATCTCTGTTAGTCTAATTGTCAGTGTTTGAGTTATAATGAATGTAATAAATTATAAAGTTGTTTATAATGTCCATTAATGTGACAATAAGGCTTTTGAGAATACCTCTAAAAATAATTTACACAGTTCTTTGAAATGAGGCATGTTTCCAGATTTCAGGACTACTGATATCAGGCCTTTACTGACAACACAACCTGACTGCTAACAAAACCTTGATTATTTTACCTTCAGGCCACTTTTATTTCAAAATAAAGAATATACAATCCTTATGTAAAATAACAGAAAACACAGGATTTACATAGGCTATTTTCATTGTAAAACATTTCAAATATTAGTGAATTAACTATTTTGGTTTTCTTATGCCCCAAGATGTGAAACTTATTATTATTCATCAGCCACCTGCTACCTTACTAGTATATTCACAACATTCATATGGACATCATATTTACTTAAGTTAGTGTTTTCTTAGTTCTTGTTTTTTCACATATATTGGTCTTTCATATTGCTATTAGTTATATATTTCATCACTTGTTTATTGTGATTTTTTGCTTTTTTACATAAAGACAGATTCTGCACTTCAACTTGAATTTTTAAGTATGAAAGGTAAAAAAAAAATAAAGTTATTTAACAAAGCAAAAAAGTACAATAAATATCTAAACTGTTATACTAAATTGGGTTTGCAGTAATTTATCATAAATAGAACATTTCACCAATTAGTGTAAGTAATTACTAATTATATAACTGCTATACTTAGATATCTACTGCTGGCATAAAATAATTTAATGAGAAGTACAAACCTGAACTTGGAGATGCTTAAGTCCTTGTCAAATGTGAGGGCTTTAAAGAAACTATGAATTTATAGTGACTGAGCTTTGGGGCATGGCATAGCGAAAAAGGAAATACTTGATATTGGACTGGGGCAGAATATCACATGGGGCAGGGTGGGGGGTTTAAGGGAAAGTTAACAGTTACCAAGAAACTAGTCATCAGAAATGAGTGTAACTTTTGTAAACCTGCCAATCTGATATGAAGTTATATACACAACTTTGAGCATGCTGAGTTACATTCAGTGAGAAATTATGGGTGTAGGAGGAAAATTCACACCTATGTAAATGCACAGTGGATTATATAATTGTAAAAGAGAAATATGTGCATCACACTGTAAAGTTGTGTAGATCATTTACTTTTGTGAATCCTGTCGAATATATGTCGAAAATAATAGTTTACACCAGTCGGGAATGGAGCAGCTAACAGCTTGTGCCAGTGCTAGAGTTTTCTATGGAGGCATCCATTCGGTTTTGCTTTGCCTGTGGAGACTTATTCCACAATGTTTCTGTAAAAGCGAAATAGCAAAGGTGTCGTTTTCTTTTGAGGCTAACTAATGAAACAGTCACTGGTTAGTGTGAAATAAGTGACTGCTAAGAATATCTCATGACTAAAGGTGACTTGCCCAGAATTATACTGCTGATTATCTTGTATAACTGTGTTCACTTTGTTCAGAAATATTATTGTTTTCATTGTTATGGGGTTTTCTGAGCATCCTCATCTCATAAGCTAAACTGCCAATAACCGAACATGCTGTGCTAGGAGCCAGTGAATTCAACAGAACTGTACAAGTATATTAGACATTGTCTGAGCTTATTGTGTGTGAATAGACTTATATATATATATATATAGATTTTTTTCATAATTTGCTTATTCAGCAGTACTGATTTGTGTGTCACTCAAGTTCAACTGAACAGTAATTAATAAGCCTGGTCTGAAACAGTATGGTGGTTTTATTAACATGCTGTGTTCTGTGAATTAATAAAAGTAAACAGGCATTCAAAAGAATGAGAGACAGTCAAAAAAGCAAGCAAAACACACCTGTAAGGTGCAGATCACACAGTGACAGCCTGGAGTTAATTGAGGGACACCTTGGAGATGACATCCAGTTTGAGAGAGAAAGAGAAAAGATATCAGCAGGAAGGCTGTGAGGACAAGAGAGTGAACAACTGGAAGATGAGTGCCTGACTGATATGAGATATGAGGCTACAAGAGAAAAACTACCTATCACAGAGGAGAGATCACCTGCTCTTGAAGTAAATGGCTCCCTGCCTGAGTCAGTCCGTAGGTCCACTAGAGAGAGAGAGCCCAAGCAAATACTCACATATCACTCATTAAGCCAGCCCTCTTTTCTGTCACATGCAGAAGTATATTTAGCATCTGCTTATAACTCACCTTACATAGCCATGTGGGGGTCTTATTATTCTAATCATTCTAATCTAATCATCAGACACACACTCTTGCATCAGGATATCTCACACTTATCCACCCTATCCTCTTTGTGTTTACGAGGTTGTAAATATGTAAAGGTAATGGCGATTCACAGGAAGGAAGGAATACAGATTTTTTGTTGGGGAGTGTGTGACACACCTATGTAAATGCACAGTGGATTATATAATTGTAAAAGAGAAAAAAAAGGACAATGACTTAAATGTCTTTTCTAGGTAATGTGTTTTTTTTTTGTTTTTTTTTTATTGCAAGTTTGTTATCTACATTCAAAACCTTTCCTGTTAAAAGTTGGTTGCTGGGTTGGACACTAGGGGGAGCCCTAGAAACTCTATAGGGACCGGGCTAACCCTCGTGAGTCACGGAGGAAACAGCCTGTAAAGCCTAAAGCTGCGTGTTTACAACTCTCCCTTTGTTCTCCTTATTTCAAGGTCAGTAACATTGAGTTCCTGTTGTATATGTGCATCACACTGTAAAGTTGTGTAGATCATTTACTTTTGTGAATCCTGCCGTTGAAACAATGTTGAAATCACGTATCTGACTGCCGTTTAAACTACGCTTTATTAAGGTTCAAAATGAAAGTTGAAAAGACGTCCAAACTTAGCCGATGAAAAAACGGCCAAAATAGTCACATTAAAGACGTCATTTTAAGGCCGTTGATTTAACGTTGAAATCACGTACATAACTGCTGTTTAATTTAAGTTTTCTTATGGTTGAAAATGAAAGTTGAAAAGACGTTCAAGCTTAGCTGTTGAAAAGACGACCAAGAAGTCACCGTAAAAATGTCATTTTAAGGTGTTCTAAGGCCTTGGAAAAAATTATAAATTATAAATTAAAAGGCATTGAAAAGTCATCCAAAATTAATTTCCACTACTACACTCTCAAAAAAAGATAACACTTTAGCATGAATCCTATATAGAACCATTCATGCTTAATACACTGTACAACAGAACAACCTTTTTTGGTGCAATATAGAATGAATTTTTCTATATAGAACCATATACAACGCATTATCTGTCAATGTGAAGAACCTTTTCCCCATGCAAAAAAACTTCCTGTAGTTAACTAAAAATTTTGATTCCAAAGTAAACATAAAACAAACTTTGTTAAATGGAAACTTTATTGAAAACGTGTAGTTATTATTAATTTCATTTGTGGAACATGAAACTGGACCATGAACTTCGTTAGGACTAAGACAAAGATCCTATGCATCAATTCAGAAAGAATTTTCAAACCTTTGAACCATAAGCTGTGTCAGTATTGTACATGATTTTCAATGTTTTAATGTAAAGGAAATCAAGGTGATTATTTAACAAGACAAAATCTTGCATTTTAGTTTCTGAGAAGTCAAACAAGAAAAGAAAAAAAAAAAGTTAAAAGCTCTGCAGGGGGCATGCTTGAGGTGATCGGCCACAGCAGAATCCATCTCATGAGCTGTGGCTTTGTTGTTCCACTTCAGAACTGCAGCTAACATAAAACACAAACAAGACTGTTACAATTAATGTACACACAAAGCATTAAAATCTCTTGACAAAAACAGAGAGATCTGTGGAAGGTGAAAGCCATTCTAACGTCATACTTATTACTTATTTAGTCTTACTTATCAATTAATAGTCACAATGCCACAAGGCCTTTGACAGCTTTTAATTCACATATATGTAAACCTTTCAAATCTGAAATATGTTTCCATATAATGTACATAATATTTTCCTGTCTGCAATGTAGCCAATAAGGAGGCAACTGATAATTACAAATCTATTTTTTAGTTATTTTTAAATGTTTATTTCAGTGGGCTTCTAAACAACTGCGAAGTAGTGATGTTGTGATATGTTCTTTTAAATGCAAAGGGCTTGAGTCTCTAATTTTATATACTGTCTCTAATTTTATATATTCTCCTAAGACCCATGAGATTTCTAAACTCTGTACTAGACTGCTCGGAAATGAAAAGCCTCTCTCTTATTTTGGTCAGTGTTTATTTGTTAAAAGAACAAAGCACAGTCCAAAGAACGAACTGGGTAGTAAATAGTACAGAATGCAGCTATAAAGCTCAGTATTATTATTTGACTTTTTTATTTGCCTTACAAATTCCAATATCAAATTTGACTGAAATGACTACAATTAATGATTCTGCTTCTTTAGTTTAGTATTGGTGTTATGTGTACATTGCTCAAACACTAGAAGACAATATTAACCCAGATGTTTTTCCATAAATACATCCCTAAAACTTCTCTCAACCTTCTCAAACCTCATCTAGGTCTCCAGTAAAGTCAGCAGACTTGTCAGTGTAGTGTAGGACACAGAAAGACTTACTTTGAACTATAAAAATGAACAAAACCTCACCACTACAGCCATTTTAGGCAACACAAAGGCTGCACAGGACTGATGTTGGATCAGTAATTATGACTGTCATTTCCATAAAAAACTATTCTAGCTCAGCAATCTTACTCCTGAGACAAAGAGGTTACCCACGGCACTTACTCTGTGATGACGTTTTGTTCACTTTTATAGCCCACAGTATGTCATATTGTGTTGCACACCACACTGAGAAGTCTGCGCCACCTTAATGAAGATATGAAATGATTTAGGTGAATATTGACTTCTAGTGTTTGTTAGAAATGTTAGCTTCACAGCTCCATTGCTAAACTAAAGATACAAACTTTGGACACCAATTATGTCTTGGCCAAAAGACTACATTGGGGGTAAGCAGAAAACTGTTTAAATTTTATATTTTGCTAAACCATTCCTTTAAATAGGTTCTTAGTCATAAAATGAGTGTGGCAACTGATAACCAGGAAACCGGTACATAAATTGTTAACACATTACGTTCTATTCTGTTTGCGATAATACTTACTTTTTTAACTTGTGTGCATTATTTGACCACTGCCAGTATGTTGTTGTGGCACACAGACAAATCCAGTCAGCTTCTGAAACAAATATTTGTTTGCAAAAGATGACAGTCAGCAACAGTTAATTCAGTAACTTATCGCTGATAGGACATTTCATTGTCTAATAAAACCTCACTAATGATTTCAACGTGTGTAGCCAAAGCTAATGAACGAAGCATCAGAATGACTGCCACATTTCCACTCTCCACCAACATCTAGAAACACAGCTGTAGCTTCTGCAGCTGTTTAAAAAATATGCTAGCTAGCTAGCATTAGCTACTCAAATTACCTAGCTGCATAAGCTAACTACTTTCAAATAGTGTAAAATAATAATTAATTGTGGTAGTTCATTTCAAAGTAAAAATATGCTCCTGGCAGTTTTAAAATGCGCCTCGAGCTATTCATGTATGTGACTACAAGCTTAGATAAATATAGCTAATGTAGCTCAATATAGCTAACGGCTAACTTTTACAAATGAGCCCGCGCAAAAATCCAAGATGAAAGCCGACGCAGACGCTATATGGAGCGCTGCATTCACAATATACAGCTGCTATTCACGTTAGCGTTTTACTAGAATGATTATGTGGTGTTTCTAAGAAGTTATTAGCAAATACTTATACAGGGCAACAACAGAAACAGCTAATGTCAGAAAACGTGTGTTGTCGTGATGAATCAATAGCGTTAGCTAGCGAGCTTAGCTTTTATCAGGACCTTCACCATCAATCACACTGAATTAAGGGAAATAAAATGACCGCTACCTTCGTTAATAAGGTTTTAATTCGCTATATTCAGCCAATACAGACAAATCTTTAAATCTGCGTTAATGACGTGCCCAACCGACCGCTATGTTTCCCGTAGTTAGCACGACTGTTCAGCACTAGCTGACCTTAGCAGGACGGCTTCAGCAGCTGTATCAAATACTAACTAGCTAGCTAGCTGGCTAACATGTACCCTCTATTCAAAAACAAACAATAATACTAGCTAATGTTTAAAAAAATCTTTGTAAGCTTAGTGACTCGCATATGGCAAAAGGTCCACCTAAAACGGCCAGCTAACGTTTACTCACGTGGACCAATGTGGACAGTAGCGCTGTGTGCTGTCGGCGGCTCGCTGAGGACTTTCTCAGACGAGGACCTTCCATAGGGGCAGTGATCGGTGTCCGTTCAGATGGATATCGCGGCTTCTTTAACCCGCTTGATACATCCAACAAACCCACAGCGCTTAAATGACAGGACTGCCTTGCTGACAGTGGAAATGCAGTTGCAAACAGGATTGCAAATATTCATTTTGGCAGAGCTGAAGGGCCATGATGACGAAATACAATAAAATGGGCGTTTTTTATGTCAGAGTCAGACCGTATTAAGATAATCAAAATGAATGGTCAAAAACGCTGCTTTTCTATATTAAAAGTTTCCAGCTATTATACAATACAATAAATAAAAACGCAAATAGGTTTGCATTCAAATTCGAATTGTGTCTTAAATAATGCACACTGCTATGAGATATGCAATTACAAACACCATTTAGCACTTGCATTAAAATTTGAAAAAAGTCCAGGAAATATAGAAAAGCTGATGGCACCATGTTAAATAATGACAACCACACTCCATGTGACGTCATATGGCATGTTCTTTACACCATAAAGACAAGTGAAATATTATCAAGCTTCAGCAATCAACATCTAACATAACAGTAAGCCAATCTATATTTAACATTTGGTATCTTTGAGAAAAGAAACATAACATAATATCTCTGGACTGGAATACAGCTTTCTTTTTGTTGTTTCTTCTTCTTCTTACTATTACTATTATTATTACTATTATTATTAGTAGTAGTAGTAGTAGTAGTAGTAGTAGTTGTTGTTGTTGTACTAGTAGCAGTGGGCTAGAAGCAGTGGTACTGGTATTGTTATTATGATCGTTATCATTATTTTTGGGTTATAGTGAAACGTCTATTGACGTTATTAACAGGTCACCAATGGACTGACTTTTTGAAACGGATTTTGGACGTCTATTGACGTTATTAACAGGTCACCAATGGACTGACTTTTTGAAACGGATTTTGGACGTCTACTGACGTTATTAACAGGTCACCAATGGACTGACTTTTTGAAACGGATTTTGGACATCTATTGACGTTATTAACGGGTCACCAATGGACTGACTTTTTGAAACGGATTTTGGACGTCTATTGACGTTATTAACGGGTCACCAATGGACTGACTTTTTGAAACGGATTTTGGACGTCTATTGACGTTAATAACAGGTCACCAATGGACTGACTTTTTGAAACGGATTTTGGACGTCTATGGACGTTATTAACAGGTCACCAATGGACTGACTTTTTGAAACGGATTTTGGACGTCTATTGACGTTCATAACATGTCCCCGACTGACCGACTATTTTTAAACACATTTTGGACGTCCACAGACGTTCTTTGTTTACTGGGTCCATAATGTTTCTGTAAAAGCGAAATAGCAAAGGTGTCGTTTTCTTTTGAGGCTAACTAATGAAACAGTCACTGGTTAGTGTGAAATAAGTGACTGCTAAGAATATCTCATGACTAAAGCTGACTTGCCCAGAATTATACTGCTGATTATCTTGTATAACTGTGTTCACTTTGTTCAGAAATATTATTGTTTTCATTGTTATGGGGTTTTCTGAGCATCCTCATCTCATAAGCTAAACTGCCAATAACCGAACATGCTGTGCTAGGAGCCAGTGAATTCAACAGAACTGTACAAGTATATTAGACATTGTCTGAGCTTATTGTGTGTGAATAGACTTATATATATATATATATATATATAGATTTTTTTCATAATTTGCTTATTCAGCAGTACTGATTTGTGTGTCACTCAAGTTCAACTGAACAGTAATTAATAAGCCTGGTCTGAAACAGTATGGTGGTTTTATTAACATGCTGTGTTCTGTGAATTAATAAAAGTAAACAGGCATTCAAAAGAATGAGAGACAGTCAAAAAAGCAAGCAAAACACACCTGTAAGGTGCAGATCACACAGTGACAGCCTGGAGTTAATTGAGGGACACCTTGGAGATGACATCCAGTTTGAGAGAGAAAGAGAAAAGATATCAGCAGGAAGGCTGTGAGGACAAGAGAGTGAACAACTGGAAGATGAGTGCCTGACTGATATGAGATATGAGGCTACAAGAGAAAAACTACCTATCACAGAGGAGAGATCACCTGCTCTTGAAGTAAATGGCTCCCTGCCTGAGTCAGTCCGTAGGTCCACTAGAGAGAGAGAGCCCAAGCAAATACTCACATATCACTCATTAAGCCAGCCCTCTTTTCTGTCACATGCAGAAGTATATTTAGCATCTGCTTATGGCTCACCTTACATAGCCATGTGGGGGTCTTATTATTCTAATCATTTGCACTGCACAGACACACACTCTTGCATCAGGATATCTCACACTTATCCACCCTATCCTCTTTGTGTTTACGAGGTTGTAAATATGTAAAAGGTAATGGCGATTCACAGGAAGGAAGGAATACATATTTTTTGTTGGGGAGTGTGTGACACACCTATGTAAATGCACTGTGGATTATATAATTGTAAAAGAGAAAAAAAAGGACAATGACTTAAATGTCTTTTCTAGGTAATGTGTGTTTTTTTTTTATTTTATTGCAAGTTTGTTATCCACATTCAAAACCTTTCCTGTTAAAAGTTGGTTGCTGGGTTGGACACTAGGGGGAGCCCTAGAAACTCTATAGGGACCGGGCTAACCCTCGTGAGTCACGGAGGAAACAGCCTGTAAAGCCTAAAGCTGTGTGTTTACAACTCTCCCTTTGTTCTCCTTATTTCAAGGTCAGTAACATTGAGTTCCTGTTGTATATGTGCATCACACTGTAAAGTTGTGTAGATCATTTACTTTGGTGAATCCTGTCGAATATATGTCAAAAATAATAATTTACATTAGTCGGGAATGGAAGAGCTAACAGCTTGTGCCAGTGCTAGAGTTTTCTATGGAGGCATCCATTCGGTTTTGCTTTGCCTGTGGAGACTTGAGCAAAATCACAAAAAAATATTACATAATGTTTCTGTAAAAGCGAAATAGCAAAGGTGTCGTTTTCTTTTGAGGCTAACTAATGAAACAGTCACTGGTTAGTGTGAAATAAGTGACTGCTAAGAATATCTCATGACTAAAGGTGACTTGCCCAGAATTATACTGCTGATTATCTTGTATAACTGTGTTCACTTTGTTCAGAAATATTATTGTTTTCATTGTTATGGGGTTTTCTGAGCATCCTCATCTCATAAGCTAAACTGCCAATAACCGAACATGCTGTGCTAGGAGCCAGTGAATTCAACAGAACTGTACAAGTATATTAGACATTGTCTGATATATATATATATATATATATATATATATATATATATATATATATATATATATATATGTGTGTGTGTGTGTGTGTTTTGTTTGTTTTTTAATAACTTGCCAGGGTGCGGTACACTGTGCCTGATTGCTCATTGATTTTCTACCAGGAAAGGGCCGGAGCAAGAGTTTGGGAACTCTGCATGGTCAGTACTTAGTAAGACACCCTTTGGCTAGCCAGCTAAGGAACTTTTAGTTCTTGTTTCTGGGATTTTCGCCCCTTCTTCCTTGCAAAAGTCTTTCAGCTCTGTGAGATTCTTGGGCCATCTTACATGCACTGCTTTTTCAGGTCTATCTACAGATTTTCTGTAATGTTTAGGTTGGCGGACTGTAAGGACCATGACAAAACCTTCAATTTGTGCCTCTTGAGTTAGTCCATTATGAATTGAGGTGTGTTTAGGATCATTATCCTGTTGTAGTAGACATTCTCTTTTCATTTTCAGCCTTTTTACAGGCAGAGTGATGTTTGCTTGCAGACTTTGCTGGTATTTAATTGAATCTATTCTTCCCTCTGTCAGTGAAATATTCTCAATGCCAGTGGCTGCAACACAAGCCCAGAGCATGGTACAGCCACCGCTATGCTTAACAGTTGTAGAGGCTTTCTTTTCATGAAATTCTGCACCCTTTTTTCTTGAAACACACCTTTGCTAATTGCAGCCAGAAAGTTCTATTTTAACTTCATCCACAGTCCAGTTTGTATCCCAAATGCATCAGGCTTGTTTAGATGTGCCTTTGCAAACTACTGACACTGAATTTTGTGGTAAGGATGCAGGAAAGTTTTTGTTACGATGACTCTTCCATTAAGGTTACATCTGTGCAGGTGTCACAGCCCAGTAGAACAGTGCACCACCACTCCAGAGTCTACTAAATCTTCCTGAAGGTCTGTTGCAGGTTAAATGGGGGTTTTGATTTGCTTTCTAGCAATCCTATGAGCGGTTCTCTCTGAAAGTTTTCATGGTCTTCCAGACCTCAACTTGTCCTCCACCGTTCCTGTTAACTACCAGTTGTTAATTACATTATGAATGGAGGAAACGGCTCCTTGCAAACACTTTGCTTTTGTTTAGCCTTCTGCTTTGTGGGTATCAATTATTTTAATTTCCGAGTGTTAGGCAGCTGCTTAGAGGAGCCCATGGCTACTAATCACTGTGGCAAGGTTTGAGGAGTCACAGTATTTATAAAACTTTGAAATTTGCATCATCTGGCCTTTCCTAATGATGACTATGAACAAGCACCAGCCCTAACAAGCTAATTAAGGTCTGAGAGCTTGGTTAAAGGTACCAGAGAGCTCAAATCTATTGGAGTACTCAAACTTTTTCATAGTGCTTTTTTTCATTAAGTTATAATCATTAATACACGTGTATTTGATGTAGGGGTGTAATGATGAAGACCAGTTACATTTTTTGTTTTTAACATCTTTGAAGTGCCCTGTTACAAATAATTAGCCTGTGTTCAGACAGTGGAAAGTATTCTGCACAAAATGCCATTATATCCTCCGCTCGTTCCACGGGGGATCATGGATTTTTGCATTTTTTATCAAATTGAAAAATGTTCAAATTCAGTGGAAAAGTTTTGCTCATCATGTGTAATTTTTCATGTGGTAATCAATCAAAGAAGAGGACAGGCAAAACTAAATCAGCGAGTAAATGTAGGGCTGTGCAGTACGACAGTTTTGCTCACGTTTGTCATTTAAAAAATGCTCAGTTTAAAGATGAATGTTTATTCCCTGGCAGGTGTATCAGCCTGTACAATGTTATCACAGAAGTTGAAAATAAAAGATCAGTGCCCCTCATCACTGTAGCTTAGTGAGTAGTTGACTCACTTTATTAATCCCAGAGGGAAAGTTGTGTATTACAGCTACACAAAATACAGTAAAGAGCAAAACAACGGCTATGTATTACCATACATTATTATACAGATGCATGTATAATTTCTCATGAAACTGAGAAATTGTATTGTTTTTTGAAAAATATATGCCCATTTTGAATTTGATGCCAACAACAGATTCCAAAAAAGCTGGGACGGGCAACAAAAGGCTGGTGAAGTTGTGTAATGCTAAAAAAACTCCTGGTGGTTGATTGGCAACAGGTCAATAACATGACTGGGTATAAAATGAGCATCCCAGAGAAGCTGTGTCTTTCAGAAGTAAAGATGAGGAAGGGTTCACCACTCTGTGAAAGTGGTGTGGGTGACAAGCACATCTGTGAAAGCACCGTTAATGCTGAATGATATATACATGTTTTGGCATCTTTTTCAGAGAAGGCCTTGCTTATTTTGGCCAGACAATGCCAAATCACATTCTGCATGTATTACAACAGCATGGCTCTGTATTAAAAGAGTCTGGATGCGAAACTGGCCTGTCTGCGGTCCAGACCTGTCACCACTGAAAACATTTGGCGCATTATTAAATGAAAAATATGACAAATGAGCCACCGAACTGTTGAGCAGCTGAAATCCAGTATCAAGCAAGAATGGGAAAACATATTATTACACAATCCGACTATGCAATGTAAACAATAGTACAGTTAACATGTATTAATAGATTAATAGATAGATTTTTAGCTATTATTAATAGATAGAGAGATGTAGTAGTGTCCAGCTGGTGCTCAGTGAGCCTGCCCTGTTAGTGGCTCAGTATACAGCAATGTCCCAGCACAGTGAAAAGGTGCTGTACAGTGTGATCGCTTTTGGTACAAATAATCTCCTGTACCGTTTCTTACTACAGCGCTGTCCGCTGTCTGACCAGTAGGTCATAGAGGGGGTCTGATGTGTTGTCCAGAATAGCAGTAAGTTTATTAAGTGACCTCCTTTTTTTGTGTGTGTGTAAAGCTGCTTTGTGACAACACCTGTTATAAAAAGCGCTATATAAATAAACTTTGCCTGCTTTGCTTGCTTTCCACCACAAGCTCAAAACCATCCAGTGAGCAGCCCAAAACTGAGCCAGCTTTCTCGACCAGTTTGTTGAGTTTTTTTTGCATCTTCCCCTCTGATGCTGCCTCCCCAACAGACTGCTGCAAAGAAGACAGTACCTGCAACAACAGACTGGTCATTGGTAATTAATGCTCTGTCTGTATAGGATGCGATAAAGCCTGTTCATGCGTTAAAGGCCTTTCCTTGCTTTTTCCGATTGCATTTATCGTATCTCCCTCCTCAGTTATCTAATATTGGACTTTTAAATTGGAGTAAACTTGGTATTTCACAGATCTCTTGTTTATTCTCAGAGGGTGTTATGACAAGTACAGGTTACCAAAGACTGACTTTTCAGGTATCTTAAAATCAGACACTTTGTTAAAGCCGGACACTGGAATGAATCAAAACATTTTGGGAAGGGGTGCATTCAGCTATACAAGAAATTCTTAATATACAGTTTACATTATGCCCTAAATTATATTTGCTCTATGGCCAGTTAGAAGCTAAATTCCACTATAATGCCAGTCAGATATTTATTCTGCTGGTTTACATTGCAAAAAACTGTGTTTTACGTCTCTTGTCTTCTCCTTAGGTCCCATCTCTCAATGTATGGTTTTCTCAAATAACATCTTTACTTATTTTGAGAAGTTAACTTTTGATTTGCACCAAAAGACAGAATTTCTTTGGCAAATATGGTCTTTTCCTTGGAATTATATTGGTAATTTATCTTAATTTTATTGCACTTATCCATGTGTTTCTTTTCTCTCTGGTGTTATGGATGTCTCCAAATTTCTACTGTGCATTTTTTATGTCCTTTACATTTGATGGCTGTATAATCATCCCTAGATTTACCGCTCACATGGTCCCTTCACGTTTCTGTACTGGAAAGCAATTGTATCTGTGAACTGTTACCTGACAAGTGTCTTAATAAAAATATAATAAAAGGAAACTGTATATTTTTTTCAGTCATCCCAAACAGAACTAACTGTCTGTATGTTTTGTTGCCCCTCCTGTGCCGTCTGATGTTGTTGCTTCAGTGCCCCTGTACGGCTGCCTTTTGGATCAGTTTGACCATAATGGTGCATCCTGCTGTCCAGGTCCATAATGGTGCATCCTGCTGGGCAAAATGCTTCACCTGCTGTCCAATTCACCCCCCTGATGAACCTACTGCCTGCACACACTCAAACTAGAACTATTTAATCACCTGCCTCACAATATGCTGAGCTCTAATCATACTAACATATCATCATGATAGGCATCTAACAGCAGTCATTGATGTTTATGGATTTTACTCTCATTGTCACTGTGATATGCTCCTAACAGTAATCACTGGCTTTGAATGATATATTGAGCTGAATGCAGTCTACCAGACGAGGATAGGTTCCCCTTCTGAGTGTGGACTTATTCAAAGATATATAGGAACAGTTCCCCTTTGAAAGGGTTCAGTTGAAAAATGGGGTGCATGTGACCAGTAATTGATTCTTGCAAAATGGAACGAGCACATGGGTGCCACCCATACACATATATACACACACACAGACAATACAAAACTTGAAAGTGCAGAAGCAGCTTGCAGAAGTTTGATAGCGGAAATCAAGTCTATGTGACTATGCATTATACACATATTTATGGGTTAAAAGTTAGGAGAGAAAAATTTAGGATTATACATGTAAGGTATATACTATGTGAAACCAAAATATGTTTCTCTGCTCTCTGAAGGCATTGCGTTAATAGTCCAGCCAGAGTCCTTAAGAGAACGAAAAAGAAAGTTGTCAGTGCAGTTTTATAAACACTACAATGGTTACCAGTTAAATTCCACATTGAGTACAACATTCTGCTACTGACATATAAAGCTCTATACAGCCTCGCCCCTCAGTACCTGAGTGAACTTATCTCTTATTATGAACTGTCACACCTACTTAGATCACAAGGTGCTGGATCACTGTTAGTCCCTAGAATAAATAAAGTTGTATCAGAAGGTGAAGGCTTTTCAAACAAAGCCCCCCAGCTTTGGAATATCCTTCCAGTCAGCGTTCAGGACTCAGCGTTCAGGACTCAGCGTTCAGGACACAGTTTTTAAGTCCAGGCTAAAACCCACTTGTTTAGTCAAGCCTTCGGTAATTAGTTTTTCCCGCTAGCTAAAAGGTGCAGATTCATTGTCGTAGAGTATTATGGAAAACTGAGAATGTCAGTGTTGTAGTCTCGCTGCTCTCATGAGCTTACTCAGGTTTGTTGACAGTGGAGCAGAGGGGTGCTTTCATCACAGAGAGCCCCTATTTCTTTGCTGCCTTCTGGCTGTCTGTTTTTTAGTTATGCTGAATAGCTATGTCTGCCAGAGTCACTGCTTGCATTCTGTTAAAACTGTATATTGTTTTCAGTCATCCCAAACTAGAACTATTTAACTCACCAACCATTCAAAACTCTGAACTGTCTAGTGAAGTAAATGGTTTTAATAACAGCTAAGGAGACAGATGTCAAGTGCAAGGACTGAACAAGTTTACTGGAAATGATAGTAACAAGCAATACAATAATCTAAGCAATCTGATAAGAACAAAGAACAATGTGAACCAAATAAGCTGGTTTTTATCCCCATTTAGTAACACACTATCACCCCTTAACTGATGCATGAATGAATAAGTGATAATTGAATATTAATAGCCATTTTTGTGTCACCTGTTGCAAAGTGGATCTTCATATCTAGTAAATTGCTGCGTCTTGCATATGTTAATTATAAAGAGTAATGAAATTTTGTACTTCTTCCTTTCAGTAACACTCCTTATGAATTCTACAGATTCACATTGCTTCAAAATAAACATTGATTATGTATTTGGTAAACACTTAACTGCTGCTTGTTAACTGACTTTTAATGTGCAGTACACTGTCAGAAGCAAAGGTACTGTGCAGGTACATTTTCATTGATTTAGGTCCAAACATATTAAATGTAGCCTCAAAAGTTGCTCTTAAGATCCAATAGTCAGATTAAAGATGTTTTTCTCAGGGGAAAGGTACATAATTTTACTTTATCATAACCTAATGTTTTAAAATAGACCAATGAAATAAAAAGGCTGGAAACAAGACAAGGTATATAGAATCAACGCAAATTAAAAAAAAAAAAAAATTGGATTGTGGTACAATTATTTTCCCTGACCAAAGATACTGAAATGTACCCTTGAAGGTACCACCCCAGTGACAAGAGGGGTGCCACCCCAGTCCCCAGTGAGAGATTAGTACCTTTTTTTTCTGAGAGTGCACTTATAGTAAAAACACAGACGGGTGCATATAAAAATCATGAACATGCTAACTCTTCTCAAGCAGATATAAGCCAAGCCAAAAATTCAATTCAAATATAGGCCCACAGATGGGCTGTACACTGTCCACACCTTATACAGCATATAACTCTCAGATATTGAGCTGTTGTTCTACTTTCAAAAGACAAAAAAGAAAGGAAAAAAAAGGGAAAAAAATGTGTTGGTCATTGAGGACTTTGTGGAGTATTTTTACATGAAATAATATTTAGTTTAGAAATCATTCATGATTATAGTCTTGTAATGGGAACTCCTAAAGAACCACCATAAATGCAAACAAGACAGAAATCCACACTTCAGACTACCTCAGACAAAAACTGAAACAGAACGATAAACACATGCGGCCAAAGCTGATATTCTGTACCCCACAAAATAAACTACTGCTGCATTGCATACAAAATGATTTTTTTTTTTCTGATGCATGAAAAGAACTTATTGACCTCCCAGTTCCAAAAAAGTGACTGATATTTTGTCCCCTGGAATTATAAGGTTCTGAAATTTTTGTCAAAATTGAGTTATTCACATATTCTTATTCTGTGACAACTTCTTCACTTTATGTGAGGTGCTTTTAGGTTTTGTGCATTTTTTAATTCTTTAACCAGAAAACAAAAAAGCTAGAGCTCCAAAATCAAACTCTAACTTAGTTCTATAAGATTCTATCTGCGAGCCAGTCCGCACTTCAAATACACACAAGAGGATCAATCAAACTCTGCTTTTTTTGTCACATTGCCGCTCTGCTCAGTGACTTTAAAAAGGTTTATAGATCTTTATGAAACATGAAAACGTGTTGCTGAAACTCTGACTGTCTTCTTACAGTTCTTGTAAAAAGTCTTGTTGTCTAATAATTTTTTATAAATATTAAGCCTTAAAGTTCATTAAATAGATATACATTTGAATTGATGGGGTCTTAATTACAACATGAACATTAATTGAATTAATTCATCCAACTTTTCTTTTTCTTCTTTCTCCCAAAATAAGATATTTTGGTGCATTAGAGTCACATTTCTGATGTAAAACAAATCCTCATACAGCCCTTATACTGACCTAGTACACTTACTTGCTGGGAAAGTTTATTTGCTGGTTGTTGTTTAACTAAAGGAAACTAAATGGTTCCTCCGTTAAACTGAACTCTGCACTGGACAAAATATTTAGCACTGAACTTCATATTGAATCTGCAATGTTCTTTTGAATGAGAAAAAGATTTGTCCTACAACAAGAAATACATGTCATGAAAAATAAATTATAGAAATAAATGTCATAAAATTTAAACAGATTTTAAACAAATGATGAGTAACCTGCTTGTTTTCCTCATTGCTTCCTTTCATGTTTTGCCAGATAGTCCTTATAATTCCAAGCAGAAAGTGAGCTCTCAGGATTAGAAGGTTCTATCCTCATTTCACCTGTTCGAGAAGTAGGATTATGATATTGTACATTTAGAATATATTTAGGGTGTCTGTTATTTCCATGTATGACACAGACTTGTTACACATATCAGTTTTTCTATTTGTAATGCAAAATCTTTGAAGCTCAACATTTCAAAACTGTTTAGATCACAGATAAAACCTTATAATTCTGAGGGGGCAATTTGTCACATTTACATTTTTTGATGTGTTTTACTTCTTGGAAGTTTTTTTCTCCTTAATGACATTTTTAATCTCATTGAGCAGTTTCTCCTTGTTGTTTTTGATGTTTACTCCAGATTTCTTCAGAAGATCTGTGATCATTTCACGACTGTAGCTCATTTGATAAGTGGAATATGTTTTCTTCCACTTCTCAACTTCTCCTGAAAATAAAAACAAACATTTTCTGACTGGAGCACTGCTGCATTTCTGTTATTTCACAACATACCACTATAAAAATGCAGCTGATTAAGTATAGGAATATTTATTTATAATATAATATGTCTCTGAATTACCTCTGCAGTTCATAGCATTGAAAAGCGGCATGTGAATCACAGTTGGAGCATTGCCTGAACCCTTGAACACATAGAAGTCCTGTGGTATAGTATTTTCAGGAGGTGGAACAACTTTAGGGAAAGGAATCTGAAGGTCTTCACATCTTTTAGCAGTCTGAACCACCGTCTGCCAAAAAAAAGGCAATTTGCTGTTAACTGTAAATACACTGTGATACGATGATATGAAAACAAGAATATGTTACTTTTGCTGATCAATCCAGGTAAAGATGTGGTAACACAAGTGAATGGCTTGTTCACTGTTAAAAGTGCAACACTGCAGAAGTTGATTTGAAATGTTGTTGAGGTTTGAAATGATGTGAAAATATAGCTTTTTTCATCTAAACTAAAATTTTGCTTGGTATTTAAGCAGAAAAAGCAGTAAAATTGCTGTCACATTAGCCAGGAATCCTCTTTGCTGCCTGCAGAGGTCGCTCTTACCTCAGTACTAGTCAGCTGACTGCGCACACCTGAATGCTGTCTCTAATTCGTTTCTCCGTGTATAGTCTAAGGAAAATTTTGTCAGAGCATTCTCTGCCAATATTACTCTTTATTGTTTCCGTTGATATCCATTGGATTTTTGGGCCTTGCATGTCTCTTTTGTTTTTTGCGTTTTTTGAACATTGCCCTCCTGTGTATGGAATGTAGGTTCAGCTTGTAATCCAAATAAGTGAAAAGTAATTTCACATGTTGATGATTCTCATTAAATGTTTGAATTAAAAGAGAAAAAGGGGCTTCTAACAACCATTATTATGACCATGATTATAAGCTATATATGTGTGTGTGTGTGTGTGTGTGTGTGTAACAAACACACAGACACACTCAAACACACACCATGTGGGAAATACTACAAGTGATTTAGCCAGGAGGCCCAATGTTTTATTATACTCTTCTACAACCTAAGACTAGCTCAACTGGTTTGCATTGAAGTCCCTGTAGTTACTAATTAATAAGCCTGAGATTTTAAAGGGTTATAAAGTAATGCATTTAAAGCATAGGGCATTATTACATTACATTTTTTGCAAAAAAGCGTAACAATCGTCCGCTTTGGGGCTCAGAACTGGCTTACAGTTCTACATACTGTTTACCTTTTTGCACTTTCACCTGTTTGTGCTTTAGTGATGCCCCCCGAAAGTGACCAACTGCTGTTGAGGGATGCAGTTTGGCTCACTTTAATGAATATTCATTATGAACATAAACAGTTCCGCAGGTTTTAAAAATATATGAATAAAACATAAAAATCCAAACTAAGCGCATGTAAGTCTTTGCTACGTTCAAATTATTCTAAAACTCAGATTTATTTTTGGCACTTGCAGTTAAACAATCTTGAAATCTGAAAACCCCCACTTCCCACATCCATGAGTGTTGAAACAAAAGATTATGCAAAAGATTATACAAAATGCTAACTCACTGTGTGTATGTGTGTGTGTGTGTGTGTGTGTGTGTGTGTGTGTGTGTGTATGCAGTACCTCAAAGGGATTTCCTGAACTGTAGTCAAGGGAAATGATGAGGTCGATGTCTCGTTCTTTTCTCAGCACTGAGAAATAGGGTGAGTTGAGTAACAGTCCAGCATCTTCATATTCTCTTGTCTTTGAGTGAAGGACACTGGCGTGGACATGTTCCACTGATGACATAAACAATACTTAATAAGGATAATATGGCTCTTCCATGATTTCATTTAATTATTCTGTAATAAATAATTACATTGATAATGATGTTCTCTTGTCTTTGCGCTCTGCTGTATCTGGAGAGAAAGAATTCTAGGACAGTTGGAACGTTGTGAAAGTGCAGGTAGGCAGGTCTCATATGTTTGTTATTTGTGCATCTGTGTTGCTTTAAAGGATCACAGCTTGTGGTTTGTATAGATAGTATTCAATTGATGTCAGACTTGTCACCACTGCCATATTGTTGAAGTACCACCGGCAGTAACAGTGGCGACAGCGGCGCTGATAGACGCACCGTTTGTACAATGTTAGTAAATAAAGCATTCTGACAGCTAATATGTTGCTATGGTGTGGTAATATATTACTGGCTGCATTCTCAACAACAACAAAAACAAAATGGTGTAAGGTTTTATAGCATCCCATCTGTCTGACGTCATGAGGGTAAAGAGGCTGAAAACTAGCGAATGAGAAATCTTTGGATAGTGAGAATGAACAGGAAAAACTTTCAACCAAAGTTTTCTCACATCGATTTGTCACTTAAGCTAATGTCAACAAGGAGCTTAAGCTAATGTCAACATGCAATTTAGGCTAACGTCAACATGTAGCTTAAGTTAATGTCAATATGAATCTTAAGCTAACATCAACACGTAACTTAAGCTAACATCAAAACAACTTAAGCTAACATCAACACATAGGTTAACATCAACACGTAACTTAAGCTAATGTTTACACGTGACTTCAGCTAACATCGACACATAGGTTAAGCTAATGTCAACATGTGACTTAAGCTAACGTCAACACAATTTTCCATTCTTGATCACAGTCTTAGCTTATAACGTTTGTATCAAAACTAACTGTCCATTGACTGTTTATTTTGAGAATTCCCACATGCAGCGTTGTTGTTATTTAATGTACTTAATGCACATAGTACAAATACAAATTTCAATGCCATCTCGAAGCTGTAATTTTCAACAACAGCTTTGTAAGAAGTCCTAATATTATTATACGGGTCACAAAAAAACATTTCCATTATGCTTGTAACTAATAGATTTAATTAATGGGCCAAGAATAAGTTATATGGCTAATAGTAATAATTTATAGATGAGCTTATTAACACATGACTAAAAAAACAATTATAGTACATTTATAAGCTTACTAACCAATGATATGTTTAAATTTACAAGAACATTATTAATTACTTGCTAATAGGTAATTAATCAAGAGGCAGACTTTAAAATACAGCCTTACCATGGTATTAAATTTAGAGTTCTCAGCATATTTTAATGGATCAGGTAATAGTTGAAATAAGCCAAATCTGGTCCTTTGTTTCTTTTTTGTGCTGTTTGCTTCACAGTCATAGAGGAGCCAAAAGCATACATTATCCAAAACTTGCAGCAGTGAAGCACATTTTTAAGAAGGTAACAAGGCAGTTTAAACATCTACAGTCTGAAGTTGCTTTAAGGTGTAAAATGTCTGCAGTGCTTGTGCTTCTACTGTTTGAACCAGCCACCTTTTATCTTGGTCTTAAAGAAGATTTTTTGGGGGGCTTTGGTCATGACCTGGTCTCACTCTCCATTGGACTCAGTCTTGACTCAGTCTCTCTCTCATTTGGACTTGATCTCGACTAGTCATTGTCCTGGACTTGTCTTGATCTCAACAAAGATGCCCTTGTCTACAGCCCTATGCATAACCTTGTACTCTATCATCACCAAGACTTGACAATTACTAACAGTTTGTTACATGAATTAACTAACAGCATAATTAACTAACAAACTGTTTGAAATACAGTATATATTTCAATTATAGCTCATATTCAATTTTATATCTATATTTCAATTTCCCACCTTCCATTCTGTAGAGGTAGTCGTAAGTTGTTCCCCAGATCCAGTCTGCAGTTTTCTTCATGGATTTCAGAATGACAGTCCAAATTCCTGACAGAACAAGAATTAATTAAAATAAAACAAAATCAAGTTGATTACAGTTTTCTAATACATTCTGCCTACAATAACTGGTAAAGTGACTGAAATGCTTTCCTCAGCTGAGACCTTTATAATGAATTACTGACCGTACAGTGACCAGTGGACTACTGAAAATGTGTCGAACTGTTACTGTTTTATTAAATTGTAATTATATTTCAAATAATATTATAAATACACACACAATGAACACACCACACACACTCCACACAATTAACACACAGCACATACTCAACACACCTAACAAACCACACACACTCAACGCACCCACACCATACACACTCAACACAGCCAACTCGTCCTGCAGTTTTTTTAAGATATCAACAACGTTCCAATTTCAGATTGTCCGGCCTGATTGTGTGATGCGTGCTTGTATACAGCTTTTTGATCGGATGCATTACTTCTTTGTCCAACAGCCACCAACCTACATATCCTCATTAAAGGCAGGCACTCGAACTCTAATCCACAGCCATACTGACCTGCACTCCTCTATGTGCCGTTTTTTCATCCCTCGTTCTTCCCATAGAGTCCCATTCTTCTTCGCCACCACTCAAACTCCACAAATTCTTTGTATGACAGCCTCCAAACTACACATCCTCACTTAGGGCAGGTCCCCAAGCTCAAAACCAACGTTATACTGACCCGCACTCCTCTATGTGTCATTTTTTCATCCCTTGTTCCTCCCTTAGAGTCCCATTTATTTTTTGGACAAACTGTAGCCCTGTTTTTTCCATTGCCCAACAGCCACCAAAATGCACATACTCACTCAGGGCAGGTCCCCAAGCTCTATATCACAGCAACACTGACCCGCACTCTTCTATTTGTCATTTTTTCATCCCTCGTTCTTCGCATAGAGTCCCATTCATTTTCGCCCAAACCCAAGCCCTATTATTAACTTTGCCCAACAGCCACAAAAATTCAAGTACTCACTCCGGGCAGGTCCCCAAGCTCCATTCCAAAGTCATTCTGACCTGCACTCCTCTTTCTGTCGTTTTATCATCCCTCATTCCTCCCATTGAGTTCCATTCACTTTAGCCACCACTCAAACTCTATTACTTCTTTGCCCGACAGTCACCAAAATGCATGTACTCATTCAGGGCAGGTCCCCAAGCTCTAATCCACAGCTGTCCTGACCCGCACTCCTCTATTTGTCATTTTTTCATCTTTCGTTCCTCCCATAGAGTCCCATTCATTTTACCACCACTCAAACTCCATTACTTCTTTGCCCAACACCCACCGAAATGCAAGTACTCACTCAGGGCACATCCCCAAGCTCTGATCCATAGCCATACTGACCCGCACTCCTCTATTTGTGTTTTTTTCATCCATCGTTCCTCCCATAGAGTCCCATTCATTTTCGCCACCACTCAAACTCTATTACTTCTTTGCCTGACACCCACCGAAATGCATGTACTCACTCAGGGCACATCCCCAAGCTGTAATTCATAGCCATACTGACCCGCACTCCTCTGTTTCTGATTTTTTCATCCCTCCTTCCTCCCTTAGAGACCCATTCATTTTCGGCCAAACCATAGCCCTGTTTTTTCCATTGTGCAACAGACACCGAAATGCATGGGCACATTCCCAAGCTCTAATCCACAGCCACACTGACCCGCACTCCTCTATATGTCCTTTTTTCCCTCCCTCATTCCTCCCATAGCGTCCCATTCATTTTCTTTCGCATCAAAGCCCTAATGTGTCTTTTTACCAACAGCCACCAAAGTACATGTACTCATTCAGATCAGGTCTCCAAGCTCTAATCCACCGCCTTACTGACCCACACTCCTCTATGTGTAGTTTTTTCATCCCTCATTCCTCCTAATGACTTCCATAGTAACCGCTGCGTACCCATTCTGCGTTTCCTTTAGGAAATACACTTTTCTTGTTATATTTATAATTGTATTTCCAAATGCAGTTGATTACACTAGATTTCCTGCATGCTTGTGGTTTCTAATGTACAGTTCTACTGCTCTAATTTGCACTCACAGCTTTCATGAAGGTTCTTGGTTTTGTTACAATATATATGCCAAAGGATGAAATGTAGGTCAAACGTCCAGACACAAATTGCATTACATTAACAATCCTGTGCAAAACATGACTTTACAGCAGTTACATGCACTTATGCCAGTTTTTAATATTACACAGCTGATACTAACTGAATGCTTTCTTATTACAACATTACAGGATGATCTAGTTCACTGAAATATAAAACAGCATGATGGATAGAATATCAAAACAAAATGAAATCTGTTTCAGAAAAAGCCACATGCAGAGCTAAGGCTAGGTTTGTAATTTAGTAAAATTAAGTTGGAAGAATAGTCTGAGGTGTATTGTTTAGAAAATGTAGAAGGTTCTACTCACTGTCTTCATTATCCTGCTTCTTAAACATGTCAGCGATAGAGCTGTATGCTTGCAGAGTGTAATCTTTTAACAGTGACATGGAGAATGATGCCTTTTCTGGTCTCAGTTGTGTTTCATCTTCATCTAAAGAGACAGTGTATTCTTTCATTGTTTTTCAGTTCAGTTCAAAGTATACACACAACATTACATAACATTATGACCACCTCCTTGTTTCTACATTCACTGTCCATTTTATCAGCTCCTTTTTACTGTATAGGTGCACTGTGTAGTTCTACAATTACAGACTGTAATCCATCTGTTTCTCTGCATACTCCAGAAGCACTGCTGTGTCTGATCCACTCAGACCAGCGCAACACACACTAACACACCACCACCACATCAGTGTTACTGCAGTGCTGAGAATGATCCACCACCCAAATAGTACCTGCTCTGTGAGGGTCCATGGGGGTCCTGACCACTGAAGAACAGGGTAAAAGGGTTCTAAAAAAAGTATGTGGAGAAACAGATGGACTACATTGTGTAATTGTAGAACTACAAAGTCCATTTATATGGTAAGTGGAGCAGATAAAATGGACAGTCAGTATAGAAACAAGGTGTACTTAATGAAGTGGATGGTCAGTGTAATAGACAATAATTTAAACAATTAAATCAAAAAGCAGGCTTTTTAATGTTGAAGTAGATAAACTGTTGTGTATTTTTTTGGATTATGGGAAATGTTGGTGAATACAACCTTTCAGTAGGTACTGCATGGTTTGGAAGTGAACTGTAGCATCCTCCTTTTTTAACACGCTGAGGTTTAGATCCACAAATGCCAAGAGCGCCTGCTCAGCATCCGGCACATCTGGCACTGATGCATATTCTGCTTGGGTGCTTTTTATTTTTTCTAGTAAGAAATAATGAAAGAATTATAAAGAGGGATATTAACCCTTCCCATTTAAGATTTTAGCACTAGTGCACACTAACACAAAAAATATGTGTGATTATGATGCATAGCGAATACAACATACACCATTTGATCTAATATAATCAGTTCTTTGAAATCTTGTAAAAGTATTGTAAGGTAAAACACTAAAAAAGTAAGTTTGTATCACATTTTAATGTTAATGTTTGTTTATAGTCCAGTGGTTGTGTCTTGCTAAAAAACCTTGCACAACACAACCTGATTTAGTACCATGAGCTAAATGATTCACACTCAGTAAAGGAGAAATGTAAGAAAATATTATATTAATAATAAAATCAAATAAAATATTAATAAACTGAGAGAGGTTCATACTTGTCACCACGCGTTTCAGTGCCTCATAGATCTGCTTACATATCTCCTGCTTATCTGCGATGGCACTGCCACACAGGCCTGAACAAATAACAAACAAATAAAACAAAACATCATGAAAAACTTGAAATGGATTTGCATGTGGTCTTTGACCATCCATGACCAATGTATGACCATGAAATAGTGTTGAAAATTTTGTGTCCTTAGGCATCCATGACCTTTGTCTCTTTGTGCTGCTGTAAGTGCTATTCTTGCTTCTTCATTACTGCAGTAGAATTTTGATGTTACTGTGTCTAATGTTTGAACCATTTTAGTTGGTTCAATTAGGATCACTGTAAACAAGTTTCAGTTGTATTGTCCTTTTAATGGTGGTGATATGTCCTATAATTGAAATTGTTAAGTCCATCTAGCAGTTCAAGTCATCTTTTGGTGTTTAGTTCACCAAATGCTATATGCTTGTTAACTTCTTTCATAGATTTTGTAGGGATTTTCATAAAGAATAACACCTTATTTGCATATAGATTTAGCTTATAGATGATGTTTTGATATGAAACGCCAAAGATGTTATCATTTTGTTGTATAACTATTACTAAGGGTTCCGTGATTAGTGTGAATAACAATGAAGAAGGTGGACATCCTTGTCTGGTACTACAAAATAGCACAAAGCTTTATGAAGTTACGTCATTTGTGATGATGATGATTCCATGGGTGTGAAATATAGTATTTTAATACAGTATATAAAGGATTTTCCTAAGCTAAATATATGTAACATGCTACAAAGAAATTCCCAGTTTACTTTGCTACTGGTTAATCAATTTGTTTTAACGTAGTATGTGTTACCTTGTAGGTACAGCATGTCAATCTCAGGCTGCTTCTTAACTTCCTTTCCATTCTCAAACTGACTTCCCAAACAGGAGGAATCCACAAAGACTCCAGAGAGAGAATAACCTGACTCATCTGGAGTGATCTCAAACCAGACATCTACAAACAGAAAGTACTGTAAGTTTTACTTTTTTCCACATGCCACACACACACACACACACACACACGCACACACACACACACACAGACATGCATATAACACACACATGCACACATAAAATTACCTGCATTCAGTTTGTCATATTTACTCTGCTTGTCAATCACAGTGTAAATGGGATACGGTTCATTGGTGTATTTACCCCTCTGCTCTGTGAGTTTGTGTTCATCAATCTGTGAAATACAGAAAATACAGACGCCTATAGTGGGGGCTGAGAAAAGACAAACATCTGAGACAACAAGAGAAAAAGCATCTATTTGAAAAATAGAATTTCAGAATTTCTCAGTATTTTGAATGGCCCACTTAATGGCAGTGTGCACTCAAGTTTGTTCAAAAGCGTCTAATGAGGAGATTAGATCCTCCTGAGAATCAACTGAACCCGAGCTTCAGCAGAAGGTATAAGACCTGTTACTACTATCCTCAGAGCTGTCTTTTTATTTTCAACATTAATTACTCCTTACTTCATAGTACTACTACTTACATTACTACTTAATGTGTCTCTTCAAGTAAAGCAACAATCATCACTACTAATATACTAATTATACTATCAATTCATAATTAAGAGCAGCCTAGATGCACTTTCTTGACCTCTCAGTGGAGGGCATAGGCAAAGCTGAATGTGTCTTTTAAAATAACATCTCATCTTCATTAAATTGACATGATTAGGCTTAAAACACAGGCAGCTTATTCAAAAGGCTTATGTAGATAGTTCCACTTATGAGCAACAGAATAAAATATGTACATAATGACAGTATCTGTCATATATTGTCTTATTATCTTAAATTGTAAGACTCCAAAAGGCTTCCTTTTAGAACAGGTAAGTTTTACTGATAATACTTATATCTACAGCAGATTATATTTACATTGTAAAAAATGGTCCAACCTAAAAAAATACTTCCTCTGGTTACTGGCCAGTTACCTGGTTTTATTCATCTCACATACTTTCGAATAAAACAATGCAAAGCAACCAAAACCAAAGCAGCATCAGTTTAAATATTAAAATTAATTCTACATATTAAATTTGAAATAGTACTTCTAAACTTCACAAATATACTTTCAGCACAGGTATAAGTTCTAGAAGTTAATAAAGAACCTCTTTAATATCACATTAGTTTTTGAAACTATATTCAGTGATTTGTATGAAAGACTGAAGTTATAAATTATTCATACCTCTTTCACCATATTAGACACAATCAGTGCTGCCCACACATCTGTCAGGCTGAAGTTCTCTTTTTCTGAATAGTATTTCACCAGTTTTTGACCCATCTGTGACTGACTGACTGTGCCTTCAGCAAGCCTTTGGACAATGTCATCTTTTATAGTCTTCAGTTTGGTGGACCAGTTTGGTTTGTTGTATAGTGATGTCATGCACCTTCAGAGAACAGATGGACAAGACAATGTTGTAATTTAATACAAATAAAAAATGAGTGTGGTGTTATCAGCTTGATTATCAATATGTAAAATTTATCAGGCCAGCCACTTGTTAATGACCCCACAGTGGTGGAGAATGTGGACACTGCAACTAGCCTTGCCAGTCCTGGTGCTCATTCTGGTGTCTTTCCATGGACTAGCTCATATAGCACCTTTTAGAAACCAGTGTTCGGTAGCAGCAGGTCACATAAGAAATTGCAAGGAGTCTTAAACATGTCACTGTGGACATCAACACTTTGTGGACCTCAACAATTTCAGGACAGTGCCCCTGCTGTTGAACGCCAAGAAAACTGCAAACTAACCCCTGACAATAACATTGAGCCCTGTCTGTACACATTCAAGTATATTGCCTGCCCAGCCTCTACTCTTTATCATGGAGCTCACAGGATCTAGTGGAGGCATTTGTTATTTTTTTTTTACATGGACAAACTAAAATTCTATCTGACTGGTAGGCCATTTACTCTTATTACTGACCATACTCCACTTCAGTGGATGGCTGGATACAGGCCTGAGGACCTTCACTCCCACAGAAGCTACTACATCCTGAGTTTGAACTTTCTAGACTTATTTTCTAGACTTATTATTATATTATTACCATCTTCCCTGCAACATAAAGCACATAAACTTCATCATAAAGCATAGAAATTTCTGCGTATGAATATAAATGTATTTAGCCTAAAAGTCTGGACCTAAATAAGTAAATGAAATATCTGATATGTTCTGGATCAGTACCAGGTAGATCCTGAAACTCCACACAGGTACATGATGCAGTCCAGCAGTCCATCTTCTTTCAGCTGACACAGTGATCCCAGCAGTCCAACCATGGCTCTCAAAGCCCCACCAGAGCCCAACACTGCGATGTTAGGTACCTCATCCTGCATCATTCAAAACAAACAACAGTAGTGCTTCTACTACAGCACATGATGTAGGATGAAATATTGCTAGAAGCATAAAATAATGCAGTGGTTCATGACACATATGGTATTGAGTAATCAAAGATTCATAAGTAATTATCTATAACAGTGATAATAGCATAATGGTATGCAACAGGATAGTGTATTCTAGTGTAATATTCTAACTAACAAATGGTCAGATTTACTAAATGTTTGTGGAGGCAGTAATGAATTTTGCGCACATAAAAGCACAGAAGCCTCTTTGCTTGTCGACACAAGGTTGCCACTGAGCTCCAGATTTCAGCACATCTGACTTAATACATACATACAGATATACAGATATAAATTGTAGGGGAGGAGATTATGCAAATTAACATCCTGAACTGACTGGAAGAATTAAATGTTTTTACAGCCAAAAAGAATGATTGCATAGTTGTTTTGAAAAAGACAACCACACTAACGGCATGAAAGCAAACAAATATGTTCTCAAAAGCAAACTCCTCTTTTCATCTTATTAATAAAAAGTATTTCCTCTAATTTCCTCTGATGTCATCTGTTTTGCAGCTTTCTTCTATTGATTGTTTGACTTTTACTTTGCGCTGTGCAGAACCATTTCCCATATGCAAAATGAATAAAGCTGCTTTACAGAAAATCCAGGTCCAAGCCCCAAGAGAGCAAGCCAAAGGCAACAGTGGCAAGGAAAAACTCCCTGAGAGCAGGAGGAAGAAACCTTGAAAGTAACCAAGACTCAAAAGTGGAACCCAGCCTCCTCTTGTCAACACCGAATAGCAAAATACAACCGAAAGTGATCAGATTTTACAATTAATATTGCAATATTGAATATAGAAGAAAGACACCAGCCTGTCGTTGGACAGAAGTATTTAGATTAACCAGTGATCACCAGTGACTACTGTTAGAGGCCCATTAGAGTAACAAATGAGAAACAGCTCTATAAAACCAGTCACTTTTACTGACTAGTAACAGTGTTACAGTGTCATTGTTAGTCACTGTTACTGACTGCTGTTAGAGACACATCAGAGTAACAGATGACAACCGGATTTATGAAAACCAGTGACTATCGTTAGAAGCGTATCACAGTGAAAGAGTATAAAATTCATGAACGTCAATGACTACAGTTAAAAGCTTGTCTTGACAATGTGTTAGTATGAATATATGAAGAGCCCAGTATATTGTGAAGCAGGTGAAACAATGTCTATAATGAAGTAGTTCTAGTTTGAGTATTTCAATGTTTTAATCTTTAAATCTACACAAAACGGTATTTATAAAATTGTCCTCATTCAAGACTGTCTTGTAAATGCTGGGCCCACGGTCTCCTTAATCCTTTCGTAGTTCTTATTGCATTTATGTTCTTCACAGTGATTTCACAAACTGCTTGTCTTTTAGCAGCTCAGACCCTCTTCCATCAACTTCAAAGCTCTTTTAGAGAGAATCGTTTTCTCTCTGTGTCTGTCTTTTTCAGCCTTCAACTGTTTGATTTGTGCTCTGAGTGGCTCTGTATATTAGCGCATTCCCAATTCAAAGTAGGTAGTTTGCAGGTGACATCATTTAAATGGTACATCATAGAAAATCAACTAGAGCAAGCTAAATGTACATCTGTCCCTAAAGCTTACATATTGAAGAATATGATTTACCTCACTGCAGGATATTCCAAGCTGCTTCAGACACTGTAGAACAGTCTGTCTTCTTCTGGCCAAATGCTGCCTCTCAGCTTCACTCAGAGAGTGACCAATTCTCACCTCCCAGCTACACACATTACACAGAAATGGTTTCAGTGGTAGAATTGTGTAGTAAAAGTACTAAACAGGTAATACCTTTAATTCATCTATGTGTTTTCTACATCAGTAAAATGACTGACTAGCTTGACTTTAGCCTATTAGTGAAATGTAACAAATACATTTCAAATATATGCATCGCAAAGAAATAGCTGAAAAATAATTTACAAAAGCAAAAAAATATACCTTTTAGTATTTGTTTTCTGGTCCATTTCTAAAAAAGGAAATAAAAACAGCAAATATGAGAAGTATCTTTTTTGTAAAAACAATCAGTTTTTTAAAACTGTTACCATTTTTTGGTTCAACATAATGTTTAAAACTGCTGCCATACAGTGGAGTAATTCAGCAACACAAGAAAGTTGTATTCTGTTTTTATTGTGAAATACCTACTCAAAATATGCAAGTTAAGAGTACAGAGGCACCACAATACTGAAATGCAATTTTTTTTTTTTTAGCAGAGCAGACTTTTGGCAATAAGCTGGTTGAGAAACTGATGTGATAACAATGACATGGCTGATTCCTGTCATAATGTGAGATCTGTTAGTAAATTCAAAGGTAGAACACTGCCAAACTTGATTATTGTTAAAGTCAATGCTAAGAGTCCAGAGGTTGATTGTGAGAAGAAATTCTCAGAAACTTTGACTTGTAAGTCGTTTGTAGTAAATAATCTTATATGTGAGCAAAAATTAGATTTTATCTTTATGACTGAAACCTGGCCTGATTCAACCAGAGCAGCTTCTCTTTGTTGGAACTGCTCCACAGATTTATTACTTCTTTCAACCATTTAGTATATGTTTTTCTGTCTTTTGAAAAACTGCCTGTAGTTCTGAAAAGTGAGGAATCAGTCTTGTTTACCTGTTGAATTCCTTTACTGTTAAAAAAGATCTCTGACAGTTTTGACTAATTACTTTCTAAAGTTGTTAACAATTGAAAAGAGTAAATGAATTAAGATACAATGTCAGGGCAAATATGGTTTTGTTCATGTACTTATAGAGCTAAGTGCTGGATCTGACACAATAGATCAGAATAGTCTTATGAAACACATGGAAAATTGGGTCTCTCAGGGACTGTTTTAAGGTGGTTTGATACATATCTTAAAGTATGAATATACTTTGCTAATCTAGGTAAATGTATCTTTCTGGACTTATACTCTTTGTGGTGTTCCACAGGGTTATGTTCTAGGCTTACTTTTATTCCCAATGTGCATGTTTCTGCACTATTATTTTTTTTTTTACTACATATATCATACAAGAAGCTTGATAATTCAAAGGCTTTAATTAATCTGACAGCCTATGCAGCCAGTAACTGGATAAATTATATTAACATTAAATTAAACTTGACAAATGAATTGAAAAGTCATGTTATGTGAAGCAACTAGAGCAGATGTTTTGAACAGGCTGGGTAATTTGTCAAGATTATATTACATCCTTTTTAACATCATTACACTTCCTGTCTGTTTTTTAGAATTAAGCTATGTTTTATTGTTAAACATTTCAAATATTGGTGAAGTAGCCTTTTGTCATCCTCAAAATTGTGAAACTTATTATTCATCAGCCACCTACTACCTACATACTATATTTACAACATAAATATGGACAACATAAATAAGTTCGTATTTTATTAGTTCTTGCTTTTTTCCTCTGTACTGGTCTTTTTCACATTTGTTATATAAACCTATAATTTTATATTTTAATATTTGTTTTCTGAATTTTTAATGTTTTACTTAAAGACATATTCTTTAATGTTCTTTTTGCAATAATTCTGTTCTGCTGTTTTATTTACACATGCTGGGAAGAATGTTAACCTGCATTTCTTTGTTTGAAAGATTCTATAAAATAAATTTATTCACTGTTTAAAATAAAACGTTCATTTCAACTGAATCTTCTGGAATTTATCTGAAATAGAATATGTTTAATAATTAATATCAGTAAATACTAATGACTGCTGTACTTAGATGACCACTGCTGGCATAAAATAGCTTCATGAAAATAACATACCTGCAGTTGTAGATGCTGAAGTGCTTGAGAAAACGTCAAACAGTGAGAGCTTTACAGAGACTGTGAATTTATAGCAAGTGTGCTTGGGGGATGACATATAGAAAAAGGAAGTACCTGACATTGGACTGGTGCAGAATTTTGCAGGAACAGTGGTGCATGTTTCTTTTTTTCAGTTGAAATAAATTATAGGGTTTTTTACAGTTTACAGACTGTTGTCCATTTATGTGGGTTTATGGGTTGGCAGATACCAAGAATCTTTGTCATGCTTGGTTGCATTTTCGACATAAGATAGAAGGGCTTTCATCATCTGTCTTAAACCTGCCAATCTGATATCCAGTAATTCACACAACTTTGAGCACACCAAGCTACATTCAGTGCCAAAGTATAGGCAGTGGAAGAAAAAAAGGAAGAATAAACAGAGACATAGATGACATTGCAATGACATTGCGCCACAAGTGCTATACCTGAAGGCTCATTGTGGTTTTTTGCTTTAGTGTGTTACAAACTGTCATTTTGAACAAGAAAGATGATCAATGAGACTGTCACACATCAGTTGATCTAAATCCTAACCAGGAGCATTAGCTGAGCCTGTAGAGATCTGGGGCTCAGCCTAGTTCATTTGGGAGTTGTTTTAGAATATCATAGACTATCATGGAATTTCAAAGATTTTTCAAGTAACCTGTAAAATGTGCATTTGCTACTTTTTATTTATTATGTAGATTTACATGTTAACAAACTCCACAGCATTTCAGCAATATTGATTGGTGTGTTATAAACAAAATTGTTTAAATAAAAAGAAAAGAAGAGTGAAAACACTGTAATAGAAAATGAAAAAACTGGTATGCACAGGAAATTCATTTTTTCCCACAGTGACAATTGCAATGAGGATGTACTTCACGGTGTCCTGCGGGAACTATAACAAAATGTTTTAACTGTATGAGCATGGTAATCAAAGGACCTTTTGTTTTTTGGGGGTTTTTTTTCTTACAGCAACTAATGTCAGTTCATTCTTGAAAGGAAATTTGGCTTGTAGGATTGGAGAAGGTCAGAGAGATAGGAAGGAGCAAGATTGTTCAGAGCTTTGTAAATGAGAAGAAGGATCTTAAACTGAATACAGTAGTTTATGGGAAGCCAATGGAGGTTTTGGAGAGTAGGTGTAATGTGGTGATGTGAGCAGGTGTAAGTGAGGAGATGAGCAGGAGTTTTGAACTGTCTGAAGTTTATGAAGTAATGAGGAGCTGATGTCTGCAAGAAGAGAACTGCAAAGAGAATCTTTTCTGCACAAAGTTATTCTACAAGCACAGCAAGTTTATTAAAGTGATCGTCTTATGTCTGTATGTCAGAGCAGAGCGTTCTGACCTGCAAGTGCCTTTTTTTGGCAGTCACGTCTTTCTCAGCCACGGTTTCCTCCTGTTTTCCCACACGACAGCTACTCTGCATTTTGTTCTCAGAAATCTTGCTTAACTCTATACTGGCCAACCGCCATGTCTGAGAGCAGATGTTTTGAACAGGCTGGGTAATTTGTCAAGATCATATCACATCCTTTTTAACATCATTACACTGCCTGTCTGTTTTTTAGAATTAAGAAGATTCCTTTACTGTTTATTTTTAATAAGGTAGCTTTTAATACATTTCAGAATGTGTGACCAGCTATGTTTTATTGTTAAACATTTCAAATATTGGTGAAGTAGCCTTCTGCTTTTGTCATCCTCAAAATTGTGAAACTTATTATTCATCAGCCACCTACTACCTACATACTATATTTACAACATAAATATGGACAACATAAATAAGTTCGTATTTTATTAGTTCTTGCTTTTTTCCTCTGTACTTGTCTTTTTCACATTTTGTCATCCATCCATCCATCATCTAAACCGCTTATCCTTCTGGGTCACGGTGGGGTGCTGGAGCCTATCCCAGCTGTCATTGGGCGGAAGGCAGGATGCACCCTGGACAGGTCGCCAGTCCATCGCAGGGCACATTTTGTCATATAAACCTATAATTTTACATTTTAATATTTGTTTTCTGAATTTTTACTTTTTTACTTAAAGACATATTCTTTAATGTTCTTTTTGCAATAATTCTGTTCTGCTGTTTTATTTACACATGCTGGGAAGGATGTTAACCTGCATTTTTTTGTTTGAAAGATTCTATAAAATAAATTTATTCAGTGTTTAAAATAAAATGTTCATTTCAACTGAATTGTCCGGAATTGATCTGAAATAGAATAAGTTTAGTAATTAATATCAGTAAATACTAATGACTGCTGTACTTAGATGACCACTGCTGGCATAAAATAGCTTCATGAAAATAACATACCTGCAGTTGTAGATGCTGAAGTGCTTGAGAAAACGTCAAACAGTGAGAGCTTTACAGAGACTGTGAATTTATAGCAAGTGTGCTTGGGGGATGACATTGGACTGGTGCAGAATTTTGCAGGAACAGTGGTGCATGTTTAATTTTTTTCAGTTGAAATAAATTATAGGGTTTTTTACAGTTTACAGACTGTTGTCCATTTATGTGGGTTTATGTCTTGACAGATACCAAGAATCTTTGTCATGCTTGGTTGCATTTTCGACATAAGAAAGAAGGGCTTTCATCATCTGTCTTAAACCTGCCAATCTGATATCCAGTAATTCACACAACTTTGAGCACATCAAGCTACATTCAGTGTCAAAGTATAGGCAGTGGAAGAAAAAAAGGAAGAATAAACAGAGACATAGATGACATTGCAATGACATTGCGCCACAAGTGCTATACCTGAAGGCTCATTGTGGTTTTTTGCTTTAGTGTGTTACAAACTGTCATTTTGAACAAGAAAGATGATCAATGAGACTGTCACACATCAGTTGATCTAAATCCTAACCAGGAGCATTAGCTGAGCCTGTAGAGATCTGGGGCTCAGCCTAGTTCATTTGGGAGTTGTTTTAGAATATCATAGACTATCATGGAATATCAAAGATTTTTCAAGTAACCTGTAAAATGTGCATTTGCTACTTTTTATTTATTATGTACTTCACGGTGTCCTGCGGGAACTATAACAAAATGTTTTAACTGTATGAGCATGGTAATAAAAGGACCTTTAGTTTTTTGTTTTTTTTTGTTTGTACAGCAACTAATGTCAGTTCATTCTTGAAAGGAAATTTGGCTTGTAGGATTGGAGAAGGTCAGAGAGATAGGAAGGAGCAAGATTGTTCAGAGCTTTGTAAATGAGAAGAAGGATCTTAAACTGAATGCAGTAGTTTATGGGAAGCCAATGGAGGTTTTGGAGAGTAGGTGTAATGTGGTGATGTGAGCAGGTGTAAGTGAGGAGATGAGCAGGAGTTTTGAACTGTCTGAAGTTTATGAAGTAATGAGGAGCTGATGTCTGCAAGAAGAGAACTGCAAAGAGAATCTTGTCAAGTGCATTTTTTGGCAGCCACGTCTTTCTCAGCCACGGTTTCCTCCAGTTTTCCCACGCGACAGCTACTCTGCATTTTGTTCTCAGAAATTTTGCTTATCTCTGTACTGGCCAACCGCCACGTCTGCTTCTAAGTGTATAAAGATGCCCTTCTATCCTGAAAATAAAGAAGTGTCTCTGACCATCGATGCGTATGTGTTTGTGTCTCTCTTGTTCTAAGCACAGTCCCAGAGTTCTGACGAAGAACATCCAGATAGAGAGAGGTTAAGGTGGGATCAGAGAAAGGGACAAAGGAAACCATTTCTTATAATTCTGACAGACCAGTCCAATTTTCTTACCAATTTTATATGTTCTTTTCTTAGTCACTGCTTATCAAACTGCTTAGGAATCTACCATTACCTTGAAGTTTTAGTTCTTTAGCCAGGGTTTCCCATAGAAATGTTTTGAATATAAAGCTCCAAATGTAGATAGGGGTGCCGGGGGGCACCCAATATTCTGACAGAATGGATGGAAATGAGGTGGGTACAAGGTGTTGAATCACATGGGTATGGTGTGGGGGTGGTTATGGTGTATGTGGGTATGGGGTCTGTATGGTGTTGGTAGGTACTCTGTAGTGTAATGCGGGGATGGGAATGGGGCACTGTTGAATCATGTGAGGATGGTGTTTAAGCACATGGAAATGGAAAGGTTAAATTGTTGGGTAATGTTGGGATGAAGAGGGGAGAGTGTTAAATCACATAGAGATGGTGTGGGGATGTGATGGGCACACAGGTATGGGTTGGGTATAGCAATGTGGGGAGGGGACAGTGTTGAATCACATTGGGATGGTGTCAAAGCACAAGGGGATAGGCTGGTTACTGTGTTGGGTAATGTGGGGATGCGGAGGGGACATTGTTGTCATGTGGGAATCGTGTTGAAGTACATGGGGATGGGGAGGGTACAGTGTTGGGTAATGTGGGGAAGGGGAGCGGACAGTGTTGAATCATGTTGGGGATAGTGTTGAGATGTTATATGTACGCAGGTATGGGGTTGGTATGGTGTTGGGTAATGCCCACTGCTCGCCAGCCTTCTGGACCTTTTTGGCCACCATTGAGCTTCATGCTGTACAATGCTGTGAACCTCACCCTCATGAACTGACCCTCCTGACGATGTTTTATATTCTAATACTTTATACTAATGCTGTTCGCTATCCAGTGTTGACCAGAGAAGGATTGGCTCCCCTTTTGAGTCTTGGTTCCTCTCAAGGTTTCTTCCTCTTGCTCTTAGGGAGTTTTTCCTTGCCACTGTCACCTTTGGCTTGCTCATGGGGGCTTGGACCCAAATTTTTCTGTAAAGCTGCTTTGTGACAACACCTGTTGTAAAAAGCGCTACATAAATAAACTTTGACTTGATGTTGACTAATGTGTGGACAGTGTTAAATCTCATGGGGAAGGGGTGGGGATGGTGTCAGAGATGTTGGGGAGGAGAGAGAATTTTATTCCTTTACGGTTTTCTAGTGCAGACTCAAATACTGGGGACTAGTCCATTAGATTCATCAGTGGTAATGTTAGGAAAGACAAAGGCAGTACTGTATAAAGTCTGTAATTAATAAATTCTTAACAGATTATCAAAAACATATCAACAACATATCTGTAGATTTGCATTAGTGAGGCATCTGAATACATTCAAGTGACTTATTATAGTTTATAAATGGACAGTAGCCCTTTCTGATGAACATACTGACTTTCAGTAAATATACTGGTGATACACTACTTACTGACCTTATTCTGTCATGCATTTAATTAAATCAATTTTAACTTTTCTTTGCTGGTGTAGTTTGAACTATCCCCTTTTGTTTGAACATATCTCTTCTGAATCCCGTTGTGGGCCTTGGCAACCCGTGGGACAACACAGAGGAGAGAAAGTCACAGTTGGTACACTCAATAGAGGGTTGTTTATTTTGAAAAAAAAGAAGTAGAAAATAGTCACTCAGTCTGAGGTAGGAAAATGAGAACAGCTGTCTGTAACCCAGTCCTGGCCACATGTAGACTGTTGTCCAAAATATTGGTGCTGAGATACTTTCCCTGGTTCTTCTTCAGCACCTTGGACAAGGCCAGCAACTCCTGGGTTGGCTTGATATAGCCTTGAGTCTTTGGGCCTGCCGTGATAGAATCACCCCCCCCAGAGACTAGCCTGGAGACCGCATCCATTTAAGCATCTATGGCAAAGAGGCATGATTAGTAATGAGGGTAAAAGGTCTACTTGTAAGGTAATATCGCAGTTCCTCCAGTGCCCACCTGACTCTGTCAGGTCTGCCCTTTTTTGTATGGTCTGTGAGGGGGGAGGCTATTGAGACAAAGTTAGTGCCTCTGATGTTAAAGCCACCTGTAAATAGCCTTAGTTCAGGGGGGAAAGCAATTATTTGTACCTGTGTTGTCATTGTACATTTTGTTTTCTGTTTAGTATTGAAAATAAAAAAAAAATGTTCACAAAAAAAAAAAACTAATTTCTCCTTTTTTCTGATATTTGGTAGATGCCCCATTTTCCTATCAATGCACTTTTCGGAGAGGAGACAAACAAAAGTACAAAGTCATTACTTGGACCAGGAAGTGTATCTGATACACAGGAAGTGTATCAGATTGTGGGAGAACAGACACAGAATAGGATGGAGAGGAAAGGAATAAAAACTATGACACTAAGGTGAGATGATTACAGCCTGGAAATTGAGTACTGGTAATGAACCTGACTCCACTGGGAGGTCCAGGTAAGCTCAAAAAAGTCTGAGAAAACATGTTCATGTTATTTTTTTGCAGAGTTGGAGAGGATGTGCCCATTCATGAAATAAAACCTGGACAGGGTAAGGGGAGATCACAACCTTTTTATGCCGTGTGAACACTTACCATTAGAGCCTGAACTGAAACGAAGCCATAGAAAAGACAAAAACCTGCACAAAAGAAAAGGGGAAAAGCAGTGATTACTGACAACACAAGTGAATAGTGATGAGTACTGTCCATACCCATGCATTGAATAGTTGCTAAGCAAGAGAGAGGAAGACAAGTACAGTGCTCAGCCTCAGACGAAGCCCAACCTTTCACTGAACTGCAGTTACCAATGGAAGATCTAGCATCTCAACCAGATGTGATGTCAGACCAAGCACAGCAGCTAGATTTATTCATTGACAAATCCACTACAGAGCCTGCATCCTCTTTGACCAAAGAGCCCCACATCCTGCACCATGACCCTAATCCAGCCTCTGAAGTGTCACCAGAGCTATCTGCCAGCAAACAAGTTCCTGTAATTATTGGCCCAGAAAGTGAGATTGTACAACACGCAGAGAATTCACAGCTTCCTAAAAGAGAAAGAAGACCATCAAGATGGTTCACTTATGATGTACCCAGAACTCCTGCATGCCAACAAGTGATTGTGAACTGTTCACTCTTCCAGTACACTCTTTTGAGTTATAGTGGTGTACAGAGAGTAATTCCTTGGATGTGTATACCTCAGTGTACATGCCCCTTTAGGAAAGAATGGTCTGTTTAGCATGTGAATTGATGGTATAGACTGGCTCCACAAATGAGAGTTGCTTTAGTGTTCATGTACTATTGCAGTAACAGGGCGCCTATTCCTCAAGGAAAGGGACAAAATAAGGAAACTATGGACTGTTTAAAGGACTAGAGACATTTCATTAGTGATGGACTCTTTCGTTATCGCCCATGTGCCTTGGAACTGACCCCTTATTTAGCGCGGACTCGCTTATTGCACACATGCTCCCGAACTGAATTTGAAGTTGAACATGGATATACTGCGTCGTACTATTCGCATGCAGCCAAACAGATTCCCAGTTATGAACTGTTTCATATTGCTGACATGGTTTTGAACTGATCTCCAAGCTTGGCATGGACTTTTTGAGTAGGACTGTATTATGCTTTAAATAATTGTGTTCCTTAATGAAAAAAGAATGTGAATTAAAGCCAAAGTTGACATGTACTGCACTGACTTAAAAGAAAATGTGGTTAAAAGTTTAAGAATGGGAATTAATTTGTTACGAGTTTTGATGGAGATGTTGGGGTGACATTTAATTCTGAAGGGGAGTGTGTTACCAGTTAAACATGCAAATATAACAGCACCTAAACTAACATTTAAAATAACTACTTAACTAGAGAAATTATTGTGGTGTTAGGAAATGTTAAACTGTTATTTTTAATGTATGTTTAATAGTTTGGATTTTTTAGTATTTCTATTGCTATTAGCTTTAAAAAGGAAGATTTTGGGTTACAAACTATGAGTCTTTATCAAAAGATTGTTTTTGTGCATGTACATGGGAAAGTTGATCTTTTTCTTTGAGTATTGGCTTATGCGGTGGATTGAGAAGAATATCAATTATCGATTATCGTTTGCTCATGCCTGTTTCAGCCAGATGGGGGCGCCATAAAGACGCTGAAGAGATGACACAGTGCAGAGACTGTCATTTAATTATCTTTCTTTACAGGTAAAAACTTACAAAACACAAGTATTCCTTCCGAGAATGAGCTGAATCCAGTACATAGCCACACTTACAGTATGTTTAGTTGGTAGAAAAGCATTCTTAATATAGTTAAACAAGTTTGTTGTCATTAAGGGGTAAAATGGCCAAGCACATAAACTCTCCTCAGTTAGCAAAAGACCATGAGGCACTTTGCATACTGCGTCTGATTAAAACTAGTGAGTGTGAATGTCATATATGATTGGTTAAAAAGAAATAACATTACTATCACAATGTGTGAGTTTCTGAATGTTGTAAAAAAGAAAAAATGAATGGAAAATACTGAATTTGGCACATTAAAGCTTAGAAGTATGTAAACAAAAGTATTTCTACAATGTGTATTTTAAACTAATTCACCATAAAGACACAAAAGAGAGAACACAGTGGAGAGTTTGTCATTTAATTATCTCCCTTTTCAGGGCTATTACACCATACACAACAGTGTCACTGCAGTGCTGAGAATGATCCACCATCCAAATAATACCTGCTGTGTGGTGGTCTTGTGAGGATCCTGACCATTGAAGAACAGGGTGAAAGGGGGCTAATAAAAGTGTGCAGAGAAACAGATGGACTGCAGTCTGTAATTGTAAAGCTACAAAGTGCACCTATGTGGTAAGTGGAGCTGATAAAATGAACAATGAGTGTAGAAACAAGAAGGTGGTTTTAGTGTTACAGCTACAAATAAACCAATATGGACGTGCTTCTTCTTCTTCAAAAAAGATCTGCTAGATGACCACCAACGAACTGTTCAGAAAGATAAAACTAAGTCCCTGAGCTGTGAAGTTTAGCCTCTGCCTGATGTTTGACGCACCCCTCTAACCTCCAACCCCTACACTAACATGACAATATATATGGCAGGTTTGTAGCCGACAGTTTTAACTAATCATATTGCAGATATTTATGTGGAATAGTTACATGGTCTGGTCACACTTCTGTATGTGCCTCATCCATGTAAACAGGGTAGAATGTGATTTTGAAAAAACACTCTAAACTCTTCGCTGTTCTGCATGGCTTACTACATTTCCTGTACATAGTTGTTAAAAAACTGTTAAAATAGCTGCCAGTTGTGGCCATTTTATCAGTTTCACCTACCACTGGTGCACTTTGTAAGCTTAGTCACTGACTGTGAAAAGGGATTTTTTATTTAGGTGGTGGTCCTTTCATATCACAGCAGTGACACTGAGATGGTAGTGTGCATAGTGCTGGTACAAGTGCTGGGGTTTTTACACACCCTCAAGAACCAACCCTCAAGAATTAGCCTTGAGACTGAAGGAATTGTAGTACTTTTGTAATTAAAAAATGGCAATAATATATAAGCATACAACATAAATGTAAATGGAGTCACAATTCATCAAATTCTTGACTCGAGTTAGGCTCAAATCCAAGTCATATGACTCAAGTCCGCACCTCTGCCCTGCAGCCATCTTTGCAATACAGGCTGGCAGTTATTTCCAGCTATTTAAGACCAGGCTCCTATGTCCTTGAATGAGGAGAGACGAGACCACACACACACACACACACACACACATCATCTAAACCGCTTATCCTTCTGGGTCGCGGTGGGGTGCTGGAACCTATCCCAGCTGTCATCGGGCAGAAGGCAAGATACACCCTGTACAGGTTGCCAGTCCATCGCAGGGCAGACAGACATACACACACAATTGAGGAAAGACCAAAATACTCAAATTATTATTAAAAACATATTTAAAGTCAAATAAAATCTGACAAAACCTCTTAAATAGTTTGTAGCATTTGGCTCAGAAACACAATTGCAATTGTGGCATAACCAGCAGGGTGATTGGCTCTTTTCCTTTAAGGGCGGGACTTTGCACATACAGACACCTTGTTGAGCGTTACAACCTTTCCCATTCATATTTCTATATTTCTCTAGCAGCACTCCTGTGTTTGATCCACTCACACCACATCAGTGTCACTGCAGTGCTGAGAATGATCCACCACCCAAATAGTACCTGCTTTGTGGTGGTCCTATGGGGGTCCTGACCATAGAAGAACAAGCTGAAAGGGGGATAACAAAGTATGCAGAGAAACAGATGGACTACAATCTGTAATTGTAGAAATACAAAGTGCACATGTGTGGTAAGTGGAGCTGATACAATGGACAATGAGTGTAGATACAAGAAGGTGTACTTAATATAGTGCTTGGTGAGTGTAGCATTCACAGAAATCAGCATCCAGTGATACTATAGTGAATAGTGAGGAATCTATCTGGCATAGGGGTTCCAAGTAGTAATAGATAATAGATAAACAGATAATAGATAAATAGATAATACATAAAACACCCTTATGTTTAAAAAACACATTACTGAGTTAAAAAGTGTAACATAAATGAATGTAATGCATTTTAAAAATAGTCAAAAGGATGCCCAGTTTTTAATCTGCTGAATGTAAATTCTGTTGCACAAATTTTGTTGTTTTTTTCATGAAACCTTTGATGTCTGGTGACATGTACTAGTAAAAATGTGAACAAAAGCAAAAATCTGTTAAACAGTTCCTAAAGTTCTAGAGTACTGATGACAAACAATCACAAAGTTCAATCCAGTCTAATAATGGAACAATTCAAGAAACTAAAATCCTTTTTTTGTATTAAAGTAGACAGAATTGAAACAGGTCTGATCACTGAGAGACCACTGTGTTATCAGTGTGTGTTCAGAGATGACGGTATTGTACACACACACACACACACACACACACAAACACACACACACACACACACACACACACACACACACACACACACACTGACCTTTTAAAATAAAACAGACACACACATTCAGGCTGTGTATGCAATTCTTGTTGTGACGTCAAGTGCAGTGGTCAGAAACAGCTGCTGCAGATTAACCCCCTGCACCTCGGTCAGATACCATAAACATGCAAAAGTTAAAGGATGACCTCTGACTCTGGAAATGACACAAAATAAAGAACTTAACTGCAGGAGAACAATTAGAGCTGACAGCCTTACATAACCACACAGGTATGTTTTGCATTAGTATAAATATGGCCAGGTTCCATACATACTTTTTGAGAGTTGATTTGTTGCTAACTGCACATGGGAGGTGGGTTACAGAATCAATTAAACTCAAATCTACTGCACATTATGAGAGTCATTTAGAGAGACATTTGTGAGAGTCATTTAGACACAACTCTTATCCGTGCAACACCTGGATTGAAACATTCATTCATAATATAACCACATAGAAAAGAAAAATAAGAAAGCCTGTAAAACACAATATGCAGCATATTCTTAAACCTGTATTTAAAGAACACAGCCAGTATACACCGATCAGGCATAACATTATGACCACCTCCTTGATCTATGCTCATTGTTCATTTTATCAGCTCCACTTACTATATAGGTGCACATTGTAGTTCTACAATTACCGACTGTAGTCCATCTGTTTCTCTGCATACTTTGTTAGCCCCCTTTTACCCTGTTCTTCAGTGGTCAGGACACCATGGACCCTCACAGAGCAGGTACTATTTGGGTGGTGGATCATTCTCAGCACTGCAGTAACACGGATATGGTGGTGGTGTGTTAGTGTGTGTTGTGCTGGTCTGAGTGGATCAGACACAGCAGTGCTGCTGGAGTTTTTAAACACCTCAGTGTCACTGATGGACTAAGAATAGTCCACCAACCAAAAATATCCAGCAACAGCATCCTGTGACCACTGATGAAGGATTAGAGGATGACCAACACAAA